TTCTAGAATTTTATCCTTTTGTGACAGCTGAAAACCCTTGTCGGTCTTCGTGATCTGTACCCCCAGGTATTTGTCTACCTTGCCCAATATTTTTAGTGTAAAATGTTTCCCCAGCTCATTGGCGAAGTTATTGCATTTGCTGGCTTGATCACCGATATACAATATATCGTCTACGTATATCAAAACATACTCGGGGGAGTTGCCTGACTTCTTGGTGAAGAAGCAGTTGTCGGCTGAGGTGGCTGAGAACCCCATGGATTTCAATGTCTTGGATAGGCACTCATACCAGCGTTTCCCTGACTGTTTGAGTCCATACAAGCTCCGGTTTAAAATCCAGGTTTCCCCCTTTTTGGTGCTTTGGCTGGGTGGCGCTCTCACGTATATCTCTTTGTCGAGCTCAGCGTGCAGGTAAGCGGTTTGCACGTCGAATTGGTGCACCTCCAGCCCCAGCAGTGATGCGACCACCAGTGCACATTTCACGCTCTCAGCCCTGACTGTGGGGGAGTACGTTTCCGTGTAGTCATCAGGGTATTTCTGGGCGAATCCCTGGGCCACCAACCTTGCTTTGTAGAGCACTTTGTTTCCCTCTAGGGTCTTAATCTTATAGACCCACCTAGTGCCTATGGTTGTCTTTCCTGTTGGAACTTTAGAGGGAGTGTATACATTTAGTTCCTTCAAGCTGTCCATTTCCCTTTCCATGGCTTGCTCCCATTTCTCTCTCTCCTCATTTGGTAACCCCAGTACGTCCTCATATGTGTTGGGGGTTAGTTGGTTATTATGTAGGGATAATATGTAGTCCCCTAACCTTTCTGGCCTTTTGCCCCTGTTTGTCCTGACTGGTCTGTCTGGAGGTGTCTCTGTGTCATGCATGTACCTAGCTTCCCTCTCGGTGAGTGCGTCTACTTTAATGAGCGGGTGGCTTTCCTTCCATCCCTTCACTGGTATTTCCTGTCCTCTGGGTTTGTTCTTTCTGTGTTCAGTGTCACTCTCTGCTTGGTGTTTCATTTCCTTTTGATCATCCCCTGGTCCGTCCTTGTTAAGGGACACCTCGTTGAGGTGTATTTTGGACCAGTTAGCGTTTTCGTGGAAAACAGCTGTTCGTGATATCACGAAATTGTTGCTGCTGTCTATGAACCTGTATCCTTTTGTTCCCGGTTCATAGCCCATGAACCTCAACCTCCTGGATACCCTGTCCCCCTTACGCCTGAGTTGCTTGGGTATGTGCACATCTGCAGTGACCCCGAATATGTGTAAGTGTGACACTTGTGGTTTCCTTTGGTACATTAATTCATATGGGGTTTTATTTAGTACGCTGGACCACAGTCTATTTAGAGTATAATTCGAATAAATGAGTGCTTCGGACCAGAAATGCTGCCCTAGGCCGGCATCGTCTAGTGCGCACCTCATCATGGTCTGTAGCGTTCCGTTTTTTCGTTCCGCCACGCCATTTTGAAAGGCGGAAAAAGGAGAAGTCGTGTAGTGGACCATCCCGCGTGCTTTTAACCATCGCGAGAAGTCGCTTGATAAGAATTCAGACCCCCGGTCTGTCATTATTTGCCTGATTTTGGTGTTGTGTTGTGTCTCCACCCTCGCATAGAATTCCTTAAATTTTTGAAAAACTTCATTTTTGTGTTTTAGAGTGTACACGAAGCCATAGCGGCTGAAGTCATCCACTATGGTCAGGAAGTACCTCTTCCTGTACTTAATGGAAGGCCTTAGTGGCCCCACTAGATCCATATGTACAAGTTGGAAAACCGAATTAGTTGTGCGTACTGACTTCTTGGGCCTTGGTTTGGTTTTTAATTTGGAGCCCTTACAAATAGAACACTCGAGATAGTTCTCACAATCCTTTATTTTTACACCTTCAGAGCATTCCAACATTTTCTGTACTACGGGGAAACTAATGTGTCCTAGTTTCCTGTGTAATAGGTGGGCACAGTTGTCATGCATTGGTTTCCCTATCATTGGTTTCTCCTTCCTGGGTGTCCCCTGTTCATTGGGCTCATCGGTGGTGTGTGTGTGCTCAACCCCCTCTACCTCCTTGCTTGCGTTGCCTGTGTTATTGGAGTTAACCCCTCGGTGGTTGTTCACTTCTGGCTGTGTGCTCTTGGTTGGGTGGAAGAATGGTAGTTCCCCACTGACTACTACTTTCCCTATCCCTTTACCCCCTCTGGTCACCTGTGCCTTTCCTTCTTTGAAAGTCACCTCGACATTGTTATCCTTGCTTAGTTTTAGGGTGGCAAGGATATTATATGGTATATTTGGTACTAGGAGTACTCCCCGTACCATACCTATTCCTGGTACGTATGCATTACCTTTGCCTGTTACTTGTACGTTATTCTGGTTAGCCACTTTCACTACAAAACTTTCCCCTGTGAAAGAGGTTAGTAGGTTGCGATCATGTGTGGTGTGGTTTGTGGCTCCTGAGTCCAGCAGCCATGTGCCTTCCTCCCTGTCTTGGCCTACGTGTTGTGCTTGATCCCCTATGCCGTATAGTGATCCAGTGTGACTCTCCCTGGAACTGTCCCTGTGGTCTCTCCTGTCTCTAGGGCTAGGTGAATCCCTACGCCTGTGCCTGACCTCTGGCGAGCGTCCGCTAGTGTGTCTTGTCCTTTGTTCTGGTCTATCTCTCCTATGTATCCTGTCCCCTGTATTTTTAGGGCAGTCCCTCTTGTAATGGTTTCTTGACCCACATATATAGCACTCTGTGTTGCTCTGGCTCCTGCTCTGTGGCTCAATCTTTCTGCTGGGTCTTTGCTCCCTGCGGCTTAGGGAGCGTTCCCTTCTAATGCAATCCTCTGATATTAGTTTACTTGTTAGTAATTCAAGTGAGAGCCTCCCTGTCCCTAGATTGTCTATCTGTGTAACAAAGGTGTCCCAACTGGGATCTAGGGAATTTACTATGATACTTATCATGGTCCTTTCGCTTATGACCTCCCCCCTTTGTGTCAGCTGGGCCCTAGTATTATTTAGTGATAGTAAATGCTCGCTCATGGGTGTCCCTGCCTTGAGTTTAGTGGCATAAAACTCCCTAGACAGCCTGGTGGTGCTGGCAACGCTTTGGCAGTAAAACAGTTTGTGCATTCTCTGTATTATCTCTAATGCAGTCAGGTGGTGGCCAATACTGGGGTAAATGCTGGGTGTAATGCTGGCAATGACAATACAGTAAGCTTTGTGATGGATGCAATCCAATTCAAAAGTCCAGGGTTTTTCTGGGGGGTCTGTAACCATGGATAGCAGGTCTTCCTTAAGCAGAGTGCCCTGGAGCTGCTGATTCCAGTCCAGGAAATTCTCCCCATCTAGCCTCAGTTTTGGAAAATCACTGGGTAAAGTCCCTGAATTGTAAGTTAAATTACTCACATTATGTCGCTGTCCATGGTTCCTCACATAAGGATACTCGCAATATGGCAGAGGAACGACTGTGGCAAGTCTGAACTGACTTGTATCTACGTGTCTGCGTCGGTGTAGCTCTATGTTCTGTTCCGTTTTTCTTACAGGGGCGTGCTGCGCATGCGTGAGGTTCATTTCTCCCCAGTCGTCGTGGAGTGAGGAGCTCATCCATGCTGCTCCCGGATGAAGGCCCCAATCTTCCGGATGGGCCTTCAGCTCCTCTCCGGTTGGCCTTGCCCGCTCGGGATCGTCGCAGATCGTCGCCTGGAGCCTCGGAAAGCGGTGAGGATCGCCGGTGGACGTTGGGAGTCCCGTTGGGGCCGCGAATGGTCCCGGTTGGCCCGGTCTCGCGCGGATGTCGCCTGCGGGTGCCGGGCCGATCCCCCTGCCCGCCGATGGACGTCCTCTGCCTGCGGATGGCCTCGCGATCCACGGGTCTGGTCCCGGTCGTCGGTCTGGTGAGTAGTCCCATCGCCCTTGGCTTCCGGCTTTAGTGGGTGGACCTCTTAGGGGCTCTGGGTGGTACTGGGTCCACGCGATGGTGGCATCCTTCCCAGGGTGGGTGCCGGTGCCGGCCCTCGTCGCGTTGGGGTCCCTTTTATTTTTCGGCCTGGCACCGGGGTGTACGGCCGGTATTTTTACCTTGTCCCCTAGGGCCGCGGCGATTAGTTCGATGGCCTTGTTGACTTCGGGCTCGGTTGGCGAGCTTGTAGGTTTGGTTTTTGGGCCTTTGTGTTTTTTGTAGTATTTTTGGTCGGTAGTTTTAGAGTAGGCCCCGATTCCCGCCATAGGATTTAAATCCTGGGAGTCTATTGGTGGATGGTCGGCCATCTTTGATGACGCCGTCTCCCAAGATGGCCGCCGTGAAAAGGGCGCGAAGTCTCCTTCGGCCTTTGCGGTAAGTTTTTGGTGGGGGAAATCTTCCCTTACCGGGTCTCCTTCGCTGTAGTCGGATTCGTCTTCATCTTCCTCACTCGCTGCTTCGGAGTCTTTGATCAGGCTTCGGAGTTCCGCGATGAGGCCGCTGTTGCTTTGCGACGAATCTATCAGTTCGAGGAGTTTTCCTTTTAGGTCGTGCATCTCTTCCTTTGAGGTTTCGTGTTTCGTCCACTCCTCGTTGCTCCTGGCCGGGGTGGATGGGTGGTGGAGTAGGCCGCTCGTCTCGGGTGCCTCTCCTTGCGTGGTTTCGGGTTGGGCAGATCGTCCTGCCATCTTCTTGGTGAATGCTCTGGTATTCACCCTGTCTGTTGTGGTCCCTTGCATGTCGTGGAGTATCAGGATTGGGCTATCCAACCATCCTCTGCTACCATTTTGTTAGATATGTTCGAGGATCGTGCCCAATAACTCCATAGACAAATTCTTAGTGTATCAAGTATTGTTTATTAATTAAGCATCTTATCGTTACAGGTACAAGTCTGGAACAGAGGCAGGACCGCATGGCCGACCCTTAAGTACCCCTGGGGCGTGGCTAAGGTAAGGAGGGGTCATTGGGTTAGGGTGGACCTTGGGGGTTGGCTTGCCCAGCCCCCCTGCTTCTGGATCTGGATCAGAGGCAAGGCATTTATTCATGACAAGGAGAATGAACAGTAACAGACTGGGCAGATGTGACTGAGATGATGGACCCTTAAAATTAGGATTATCTGGGTTGCATAAATCTGGATGACCAGTAGGCACAGAAGAAGGGCAGATATACTCCTATCTACTGGTTGCCCCTAGAATCCAATTCTTGTATCTCCATTAGCTTTACTGTTAATCGTTTGCTGGTTCTTGAGGGTTATTTGGTAAAAGTGCAGTGCTGGTTATGAGATGGTCCCTCTGGTAACCCAATGGCATCTTGCCCTGAATTTTGTCACTCCAAGCAATTGAGAATGTGAAGGAGAAAAATATTCCCAAATCCCAGTTCAATTAGTGATGTTGTCAGCCAGACACTATATTTCAGGACACTCTCGAACAGCCTAGAAATAGATAGATGAATGGATAAATGAATGGGAGGGAGGGAAGGAAGGAAAGCTGGGTTGTCATGTCCAGCAAGCTAGATATCCAGAACAGATGGGTAAATAGTTTGAACAGTTCATATCAGTTGCATATGTGTTTTAAAAGGGTTAGATTGGGGTTGTTATATATTAAGCTAGTTGAATTTAAATGCCCATTATCTCTTGAAATTCTGAAGAGAGAAACCAGGTGAGGTTAAAATAATGGCTAAAGAAAAAGAAGATAAATTGGAAATAATTTTGACTCCTATGATCACCAAAAATTGGCCTCCAAGATGTTCTGTTCAAAGGTATAGTACATAGAGTGTGTATCCTTAGACTGGGAAAAATGATCTGAAGGAAGCACATATTGTTGTGTTAGAAGAAATATCCTTCTGGGTTCAGCTCCAAGTGGAGAAAAAGACACTGGAAACATGGACACTGCCTGGAAAGATGGTTTAATGGTGGACAGGATCACATGGTTTGAGTTCCTGAACAGAAAAAGGGGCTGAGATGCTAAGCGTGCCTTGGTTTTATGCCCTCTCTGGCTTTGAACTTCCTGGGGCCAAGGAAGAGTATCCTGATTGGTTGTTGCCAGAGGTCATAGTTAGCCTTTTAGGTTGTCTGTGTGCCAAGTTTTGTTGAAACTTGGTGGGTGGTGCAATAAAGGGCAATTAAATGGCTCTGCCTGAAAGAGGTAGATCTTTGTTATGTAGAATAGACTGGCTCAGGCCATAATGGCCCATTAACAAAGGTGGGGGCTGAGTTTCTGCTTCTCTGAGTTTCTACTTCTCTTTTAGGGAAAATATTCTGCCTTTTTACTATATCCTAAAATATTTCATTTTTCTAGGAGAGAGGTGGGTGCTGACTTCCTACAGTTGGAAAGAGTACATCATCTCCATCCATTAGATTGCTTCCTTTATGGTGCAGAAAAGAGGAAGGATCACCTACTTTCTATCTACATTTGCTATTATCATGTACATTAAAGCAGGAACCAACCAAAGGATCCTCTCTTTAGGCTGTTTGTGCTAATCACCACATTTCATACCATTTCATCAGATGCTCTGGAAAATTCTGTATCTTTTGATATAAATATCTTGGTTGTTGTTCATGTCTCAATGTAGTTTTTCCTGCCTTTTGTCCCATTTTGCCAGTTAACTATTTTTAATCTTTGCAAATGTTTAACAAATAAATATAAATATACCTAGTTACCATGTTTTCCCCAAAATAAGACCCTGTCTTATATTTTTTGAACCCCGAAATAAGAGCTTGGCCTTATTTTTGGGGAGGTCTTATTATTTTGGGGTGCGTGGAGCAAGATGGGGCTCCTCTTGTTGTCTTACCTGATTTCCAGCTCTGCGTTTAAATATTTTTGGGGAGGGCTTATTTTCAGGGGAGGCTTATTTTAGCACATGCGCTCACAAGCCCAATTCGGCTTATTATCAGGGAGTGTCTTATTTTCAGGGAAACAGGATAGTAGTGTGTATGCTGCCTCGGATCTGACCAGGAATTGACTGGGAATGTGCTTTTGTGCAAATTAAACTGAAAACTACCCACAGTAATTTTCCAGTAATAAAAGTGTTCTGTGGGACAGTTATTTTTACATAGAATAAAACAATCTTTTTAGGCAGGTGGGTAGAAGATTGCAGTCACAGCACTCGTCCTATGATACTCTGGTGCTGCTGCACTTGCTTCTTGGGTGGCAGATAGAAAGTACCAGTACAAGGCACAAGATCAACCCATGTCCCCAAATCATTAGTGGGCAACCTAAACACCAAAAATACAAGTAGAATTGAACCCATGTTTTGTGAGCTCTTATAACTAGCAGTCCAACACTGCAAGGAACACAGTTTCTTGCCACTCTAAAATGAAAAACAGATAACAATTGGAGTGCAAACCTGAAATAGGATTAGTATTGCTTAAAAAAATACAACTCCGTCCACCCAATATTGATAAATTCTACAGTCATCCTTATATTTGGTACCCCCACTCCTTTTTTATTAACCACTCACCCATTGTGGTTCTTCCTAAATATGTGCAAGAGGTTTCTAGGATACAAAAAGGCTTGCCCACTCTGCCCTGTTTTGTTTTGTTTTGCTTTGGTGTACACCATGCCTACCAATAAGGATAGTTTCTGGAGCCTTGATAACCCTTCAGAGTTAAGCCACTTTGAGATATTATCATTTTGCAAAATCTCTTTGAGCATGATAGCATCACTCTGTGGATAATTATCTGAAAACCTTCCTCATTGAAGAAATGTATTGTCTAGAATGTTCTGACATTGCTGAGTTTGCCACTGGCTTTCCTTAAACTCTGGAAATATTGTGTAAAGCTGCAAAAAAGAGTGGCATTGTTAATATCTCATGGTAAAAGGCTTCCTGGCCAGCTTTTCAATTCACCTCTAGTTTCATTTTTTCCTCACATATTTCATTTGAGCAGTCACCTGTTTAGAAACAGAGCAGATGCTGCTTCCTCTGTTGTCTCTGAATTTCTATTCATTGCAGTATCTTAATCCTATACTTTGTTACCTGATGTTTTACTCAGCTCTTCCCTCCTTTGCCTCCAGTCTCCAAACAAATATCAAAACTCCCTGATTGAAATATTTTAAAGGGTGCTGTTTTCACCATGCTTTTCACCCATTTTAGTAGATCTTGTTTTGGAAACTGAAAACTCAATTATTTTGATTTTAGGGGGAGTGCCACACACAACCATCAGTGTGATGAATGACCAATTCTGCAGTTTCACTGAAAGCAGAATAAATGAGATCTCCCTTCCAACTGTGCAAATGATATTTATGATTACATGGTTCAGTAAAATTACTCTTTTGATTTAGAAAACACAGCAGAAGAAACTCACCTGAAACAGAGGATTGGTCTGTCCAGTAAGTTGAGTGCAGTCTGCTTTGAGGCTGGCAAGAATTTCTTCAGGGTATTAAACAGAAAGGCATTTTGCTATTCACCTGGAAATGCCAGAAATGATAGAAATGATACCTGGGACTTTTATAGTCCTGAACATGTTCTCTGTCACTGAGTTGGGCTGGGACTCTGTTTTAGCTCCATTTAGCATTAACTGAAGTGGCAAGAAATGTTAAATCTCAAATTGGTTAGCGGTTCTGATTTCATTGCACTGCAGAACAAAGATGGAATACTTGACCGCACATTTGCTGGGTCAAAATGTAGAGATTGCCATTGTGTATTGATTCTGCATGCATAACGAATGGAAGTTCATGTAGGCTTAGTTTCTAAAGGTTGAAGAGTGAACAAGCAAAGGCCTTGGAAGAAAAAAAAGTGCAAAAAGCCATTCTGATAGTCAATACAGCCCCAATTTAAGACTCTGGGGTCATCAGAGGGGGGAGAATTGTATCAAAGGATTACGGCCATAGGGAAAAAAAAAAAACGAACAGAAGAGAAATTGGAACTACTAGATGAGAAAATGACAGGCCTCAATAAAGAGCTTGAAAACATAGTGGCACAATTAGAAATGGAAAGAGCCATATTCTATCTAAGATTTCAAAATGTAAGAGAAGAGAGAGATGAGGAACTGACATTAGTAATGGCCGAAATGATAGCCGAAATTTTGCAGCGAGATAAAGACGAAACTATCAACGAAATAGACGACGTATTCAGAGTTAACACTAATTATGCAAGACAACATAGATTCCCAAGAGAGGAGATTTGTGAGAAAAAAAGTCAAAGACATTGTCTTCAAAATAGCTAAAGAAGAACCTATATATTATAAACAAAAAGAGATAATAACACTAAAATAAATACCAAAAAGAATTAGAGAGTGGAGGAAAGATTATGGATTCCTCACTGCCTTATTAAACAGAAAACAAATATTATTTTGATGGTTAATGCCAGAAGGAGTACTAGCCACGTGGAAGGGGAAAAAGTTAAAAGTTGATACTATTGAAAAGGCACAAAATTTGTACGACCAGGTGATAGAATTAGAAGGAACGGATGGCAGAGGAGAAGAGGCGGGAAGGAGAGTTAAATCAACATTAAGACGAGCAACTTCAAGTGAGGAGAATAGTAAAGAGAAAGAAAAAGAGGAAGAGGGGAAAATCCAAGAAGAAGAAGGAGTAACGACAAGGGCACAAAATAAAGCTAAGAAAAGGGACAGGAAGTAAAGGAATAAAAAGGAACAAGAACAACTTTTAAAAATGGACTGAAATCTGAAAATCATATCACTAAATATAAACGGACTTAACTCTCCTGTCAAAAGAAACCAAATATTCAGGAAATTAATTAAAGAAAAAGCAGATATTGTGTGCCTTCAAGAAACCCATATAAGAAAACAGGAAGAAAGATACCTGCAATGTAAAAAACTAGGGAAATTATATGTATCATTAACAGATGAAAAGAAAAAAGGCATAGCAGTTTATGTTAAAGAAGAGATAGAAAGTAAATTGAAATATGTAGATAGAATAGGAAGAATTTTGATGATTGAAGTTAATCTTAAAGGCAAAAATGTGTTGTTAGTTGTAGTATATGCACCAAATAGTGAGCAAAAATTTTTTACCAAAAACTGCACGAAAAAATAATAAAATCTTGGCTGTTCACCACTCTGAGTCCTTCGGGAGTAGGGTGGTATTGAAATTTGAAGAAGAATAGAACAAAATATAGAAAATGTATGTCTGTTAGGCGATCTTAATGCTATTGTGGACCCAAAAAGACTATAAAAGTAATCAGATTAAAAAAAATAAGAAAAAATTGCTGCCGAAAACATTTTTATCTCTTATAGAAGAACTAAATTTAGTAGATATCTGGAGAATATACAGCCCAAAAGAGGAAAAATATACATATTACTCTAACCCTCATAAATCCTGGTTAAGGATAGACATGGTATGGGTTACGAAGATTTTAACACAGGAAATTCAATCAGTAGAGATAGGGACCAATGACTGGGCTGATCACAATCCATTAATAATAGAATGGAGAGGATGGAGAAAGAGAAAAAGTAAATGGATGATGAATACACATGTATTGAAAGAAAAAGAATATATGGAAAGAATAGAAGAAGAACTGAAATGGTTCTTCAAGGATAATAATAAAAACCAGACATCCCTACAAAATTTGTGGGACACAACTAAAGCTTACATTAGAGGCCTAACATTAGCCTACCATAGTAAAAGGAAAAAGGAGAGGGAAAAGGAATATAATAGAATTTATGAAGAGATTAAAAATTGGGAAGAGAAATTACAGGAAAGGCCAGGAGATGAACAAGTAAGAGTGAGCTGGATGACAGCCAAACACAAATTGAATATATTTGAGCAAGAAAAATATGCCAATGCATTGAAATTCATAAGACAAAATCGAGCAGGCAAATAAACCAGGGAGGTGGATGGCTTATAAATTAAGAAAAGAGAGAGAAAAACGAACGATCCATCAATTACAGGATAATGAAGGCAAACTACAACAGAGTTGTACAACAGAAGAAAGAAATAGCAATCCAATTCTTTCAAGACTTATATACACAGGATAAGGTGGAAGTAGAAGAAATAGACCAATATTTAAAAGAGGAGGAAATGCCCGTGATAACAGAAGAAGAAAAAAAGATGTTAAATAGGGAGATTACTATGGAGGAACTACAGGAAACAATCAGGAAACAAAAAAATAATAAAACCCTGGGAACAGATGGGTTACCAATAGAGTTATACAAAGGACTAGGAGAATCACTAAATTGGATATTATTGGAGGTCTACAATGAGGCATTAAAAGAGGCAAAAATACCAGAATCTTGGAAGAAAGCACACATTTCGTTAATTCCAAAAGAAGGGGCAGATACTACACAAATCAGAAATTATAGGCCAATCTCTTTATTAAATACTGATTATAAGATTTTTATGAACCTAATGGCAAATAGATTAAAAATAATATTAAACAGTAGAATACACTCGGACCAGAATGGATTCTTGCCGACAAGACAAATTAAAAACAACCTAAGGATGGTGATCAATATAATAGAATACTATGAGGTGCATCCAGAAAAATAGGTTGCACTGATTTTTCTGGATGCACAAAAAGCATTTGATCGGGTCAATTGGAGATTCATGACTCAACAGATGAAAAATATGAAATTTGGGGAGAAATTTGAAAATATAATA